CGGTCAGGGCACATGCCTGGGTTGCGGGCTTGATCAATGACTCTCTCATCATTGATGCTTCTATCTCTCTCTCTCCCTCTCCTTTCCTCTCTCTGAAATCAATAAAGATATATTTAAAATAAAATTAAATTAAAAAAATAAAACCATAACTTTATTACCTTACAGTTCTGGAAGTACAGGATGGATCCCACTTAGCAAAATTCATGGTGTCTCTCGGACTGCATTTTTTTCTGGAGACTCTAGGGAAGAATTTATTTTCTTCCCTTTTCTAGCTTCTATGAGCTACACCCCTTCCTTCCTTAAAGCCAGCCACGGCCAGTCAAATCTCTCATGTGTCGCTCTCACACTGACTCTCCTTTTCTCTTTCACTTATAAGTGGATAATCCAGGGTGATCTTTTCCCCTCTACTTAACTACTCTCTTTATAATTTTCTTATTTTTCTTAGTATTTCATATTTCTGTTACAGTCTTCCTTACTTAAATGTCATTATAAGTCTTCAGGGTATAATTTCTTGATATTGAAGGACATGTCAGAGCAGTAAGACTGCTTCCAAAAGCTTTCACCTGTGTTGAGTCATTTGGAATCATGAATCATCACCAACTTCGAGAGAGTCATAAACCCACACTCCCTTGTGTTGGTATTGCTTTTCTCATCATTAGGAAAAGAATTCAGGAAGCAGTGAAAGTGTGCAGGTAGCTTGTATCTTATGCTAAGGCAATGCTTCTATTCCCATCTTCTTATTTAACTACCATCTTAAAGCTCATCTAAGTCAAACCACCATCTTTTGTTCGCAGGAGATGCCTTGTGTTGATCCCACTGGGCTTGAAGACTTACAGTGGCAGAGAACTTGCTACCTAAGTAGCCAGTTTCCTACCGGGAAGCTCTAATTTTTAGAAAGCTCACCTTGCGCTGAAATCTATCTTCTTGTTACCATCTCTCCATCTGCACTGTTTATACCCCTCAGAGATAGAGAACAATTTGCATCACCCTTCTGCTCTTCAAGTACTTATGACACGATTCCCTGCGCCCTGTTTTCTTCAATCTTTTCTCGCATGACATGGGTTTGACATTCAACACTTCCGTTACTCATGTCCAGAGAAAACAGTCCCTTTGGTCTTTGCAGCTCCTCAAATGTGGGCCGCAGTACCTGCCAGCCGAGTGCCAGGTGCCGCCTGACTGCTGTGTTGGTGCAGTTGCTTATGTTTCCCTGTGCGGTTAAGAATAGAGCCCTGCTAGAGGCAAGTTCACAGAGAGGCCCTGTCAGAGTCATCTAGAAAAGCCTCTGAGCCACTTTATTTCTGATGAAAAGCCACATCATTGGTACTTTGGGGAAACAGCTGTGCCCATACCTGGGCCCCTGGTTGTTGCTAAGGCTTTCCATAAGTCACAAGGCCACGTATCCTTCATCCCCTTTGATGAATAAGACCTTGCACTACCTTACAAAGGATGGTCAGCGTGATACAGTTAATCTGTCTTTTATGAAAGTACTAAATCAGGTCATTCCCAATTCTAATTAACACAGAGGAAGGGAAGGCTGTCACTTTCTCTAGTCCAAATGTCATATTTGTTACATCAGCCAGTGTCACATTATGTCTTTACTGGTGTATTACACTCTGAGTCATTCTATCAGCTGTAACTCCTAGTTTTTTTTCATGGTATCACTAATCTCAGTTCCCCCATACCGAATTTTTAAACTTCATTTCTGTACTGAATGATAAGACCTCATATTTAGTCATTAATAAACTCTGACTTGTTAGATGTAGTCTACCACTGATGATTGTAAACTTTTATAGGAACACAGTATAAACTACACATGAAAACTTATTTTTTAGACTTTTAATTGCTAATATTTATTTTTTTCTTGGGTGGGGGCATACTATTGTTTTAATTGATTCAGTGCTTTCAGTGGGCATCTTTTTAAAGAAATACTATTTGATCCACACACTGCACCATCAACTATAGCAGGTAGGATGAAGCCAGCTGAGTAACTCTAGGCATCAAAGACAGACATTCCCTCAGGAGCTGTGAAGTTAGGCATTCAGGGCCTTAGGGACCTGGTTAGGATTTAGGGACAGGATGATTAGTCCCTCAGAAGAGAGCTGGTCAAGACCCAGGCAAAGAACAGTCTTAGGCATGTTAATGTTAGAACAAAGCAAGCACAGAAACATGCCTGGGACCCTGGAACCAGGCATTAGAATAAAGACGGAGTCTCAATATCAAGGTGAAAGAAAAAACTGCTCTCCAGATTAGGGCCCACTTTTGCTAGACTGGGTACAATGCAGACTTGAAGGCAAGTCACAAATCGTCGGGACAGTTCTTTTAATCCCTCTGATCTACTACCAGGCATATGCTGGCACTTATACTGAGACTTTTTTCTCTTTCTTTATAGTTTCTAATACTTCTCTAATAAATGTATATCCTTTCTCTTTAAGGGGAAAGCACACTAACTTGTTCTGTGTGGTTAAATTTCAGAAAATTTTTTCAAGGCCTTTAAAATGCTCATAATTCTTTATGAGCACAGTAGAATTCCAGCTTAACCAAATTCATGTGGAATGAGTTGTTCTAACTAATTGAATTTTAGGATGAAACAGGGTTTAAACTAGAAACTTTCTTTTCATAGACTCTTTATAATCTTACTGTAATCTCAGTTTTTTCACTTTTAATATGCAAAGCAGTAAACAAGAACAATAACCAAGCTGATAAACAAAGAAATTTACATCTTAGAAAGGCATAATCATTTCCCTAACTGGTTGTTAGATTTGTTTGAAAGGACATTAGAGGCTTCAGTGGATCAATAAACATTTATCGAGCACCCACTATGTGGCAGGACATATATTAGACTCTGGGGATAGAGTGATGAGAAAGACCAATTCCAGCCTTCAAGGAGCTCACAGTCCACTGGTATATTCACTGTGCAATGTGTTTTATATGTAATTTTATCAGTCGGTAGTTCTGCTGAAAGATTTCCAGTAATGAGGGGTTCCTTTTGTTGCTTTCTAGTGCTATTTTTTAGCTAATTGTTGTATTAATGAATCTTTATTTTACATATATCTTTATTGATTTTTAGAGAGAGAGAAAGAGAGAGAGGAAGGGGGAGAGAGAGAGAGAGAGAGAAACATCAATGAGAGAGAAACATCTGTCGGCTGCCTCCTGTGCGCCCCCTACTGGGGATTGAGCCTGCAACCTGGGACATGCGCCCTGACCGGGAATTGAACCAGCAACCTCTTGGTACATGGGATGACACTCAACCAACTGAGCCACACCGGCCAGGGGTGAATTTTTATTTTAAAAGATAAGCAATATTGTCAATTCATAGAAAATTACTTTTTGTATTGACCCTCCTTTGCCCTCCTTGACTTACAAACATCGGTCTTTGTTCTGCCTTTCAGAACGGCAGCCTCTCTCCTCCCCCACTCTGTGAGCTAGTTCCTGAGGGGTAGCCTTTCAAACATGGTGAGAACACGGTTACCCTGCCTGCTGTCAGGCTCCTCTGGGTTAGGACACTGCAGTTCCTTTCATCATATCTTCTGTGACATGGTTTTTAAATCATATGCCATCCAGATTGCTTTCCTCTGGACACTTGCTGTATTGTCTCCCTTTGTTGTTAAAAATAAATTACCCCCAATTTCTTGCTTTCACTAGAGTAGAGTGAACATAACTGACTCTTTGATGTGTGAGGGTCTGGTGTAGTCTGAAAGCAACCGCACTGACCTTGACTACGTATTCTCTGTAGTGTAAATATCATTATGGGAAAGAAATAGGATCTTCTACTAAATCTTTACCAACCCTTGGCTAGGTCTTGGGAGATTTTTTGAAAATGAGTTTATTTTTCCCTTATTTGTCTTTTTCTTTTGGCAGTGAATTGCACTTTATAAAGGTAACCATTATCAAAAACAAAACGTGGTTAGTTGTTAAATTCACAATGCAGATCATTTGTTTTTCTTCTCTAGTGAACTGGGAACTTTCAGAGGGCAAGGATTATTTATTAGTTTTAAAAAACCTCCAGCACTTAGCATAGTCCTAGATATACGAGATGATGCCCAATAAATATTTGTTGCTCAATTAATGCCTTTACAAGAAATTAAGATCTTGGAAAAATGAGATAAATTTTAATTTTTAGAATATATTGAAGAATCAGTAATGTAGAATTGGACCTTAATTTTGTCCGAACTTGAAAAGAGGAACTGTAGTGTATTAGTTAACATAATATTATGTTATAATAATATTCATATTCACAAAGGAAAATACTGGTGTGTTATGTGGGAATACTTTTACCTCTAAATGACAGAAAACCCAAATTTCAATGGCTGAAGCAATAAGGACTTCATTATTTACTTAAGCCTGGAGAAACTGGCCCTGGGGCTATTTGAGTAGCTCACGGATATCTTCAGGGTCCCAGGCTCTTGTTATCCTTCTGTAGCCATTCTTGCCGATTACCTTTTTTGTTTGAGGCTTATTGCCTTATGGTTACAATGTTCCTGCCCTAGCACCAGACATCAAAACTGCATCCAGAGAAAGGAACCAGAGGGCCAAGGCTCTGAAACAGCCTCCTAGCATTTCTTTTCTCTGGGGAAAAATACTTTTTCAGAAACCTTCCAGCAAACTTCCCCTCATATCTAACTGACCAAAATTGAGTCTCTTGTCTGCCTCAAGGAAGCAGGCAAAGGGGCAGAGTCTTGGGAATGACTGTTGATTAAACAACAGTTTATGCCATGGTTAGAAAATAGACATATATTATAAAAAGAGATCATGCCAAGAGATTATGAACTTTACTAGTTCAGTGCTAAATTCAGGGGAACCAAATTGGAAAGACCCTTCTAAAAAGATTGTTGGTGATATTGGAGTAACATGATTGCATAACTTATTCAAACAAATGAATCATCACCTGTCAATCACTTTGGGGAGAACTGATGAACCCTATTGTCTTTTCTAGTTTTCGTAAATTCAACAGGCTGTGCCTTTATCACAAAGCTGTTTTTATTCTTCCCCCTTCCTTTCAGGAATCCTATCCAAAGAAGAGGAATTACACTATGGAAATCGTACCATCTGCTTCTCTGGATATGTTTCCTTCAGAAAACGAGAACTTTCTCTGTGATCTCACGGACACAGCAGTCACAAAGAAACCCTGCTCCTTAGAAATTGCAAGAGCCCCTTCCCCAAGGACTGGTAACATTTCTTACAGTTTGATCTGCATGCTTGTGTATGTGAAGATGTGTCATTAATGTTTTGATTTTCCACAATATTTTCAAAATGAAAAAATCTCCAATATAGTCACAGTAATCTGTGTGTTTTTTTTGGTCTTTTTTTTTTTTTGCATATTGAAGTAAGTCCAGGTAAGTCAGAGGGATTTGATATGAAGTCTCTTAACTTCCTGGCAAGAACTCTCACAGGAATGGTACTACCTAGGTGAAGCCACTTTGAAACTTCTAGATCAGGTGCAAAGCTTTGGGTCCTTCAGAACTTTATAGCAGATTTGGTGGCAAGAGTCTTTAATAAAGTTTTCTATATCCTATCTGTTTTCATGTTATCAAAGTGTACTCAGCTACTTTGTATATTTTATATCTTTGATGGTATTTTAAGATCCATTATTTTATTTATTTGTCATATAAACCAGCGAACAAAGCAGGCTGAGAACAACTCTCCTGCTTAAAATAAATAAATGTGGGGAAAAACACAGAAAAGAAAAACTTTGTAAGAGAATCAGAAAGACGACACGAAAATTATATAAACCAAATAACATTTAAATTAGGCACATTTTTTTGTTTTTTGTTTTTTGTTTTTATCAGTAGGTTAGTAAGAAATAATTAAGCCAACACACTGGTGAGGGTGGGAAACCAGTAGTGCACTAAAGCCACTTTTGTCCCAAAGAAATTTTTTGAACCTGCTGTTGAACTTTGGTGCTCAAGACCTCTGTGGGTTTGTTTATAGAAAATAAATCTCTGTGCCTGCCCAGCATTAAGATTCTAAAAGGAATCTTTCCTCCATAGAGCTGGGACTCCAAGGGCTGTACCTCAGAGTAGTCAGAAATAATTCTGCCCCATAATCGGGACCCCAAGGAGACTGCAAGGAAAGATAATTTGTCATGAGCAGAAGAAGGGGGCGAGATTCCCGAGAAGTTGTTACCACAAAATGGTCCTCACACAGATTTGTACCCCAAATTTATATCACCTTAGATGGTCCAAAAAACAATCTATGAATTTAGTTTAAAGCAGTATACCCTCAGGCATCAATCAGAAGCAAATGTAATCCTTCTAAAGAGGAATGTACTCTGTTTCTAGGCCCAAAATAATTCCTATAAATACTTTTACAATTAAAACGAGCAGTTTACAATAACTAAGCCTACAAGGGAAGGAATCCCAAATGGGAATCAATGAAAACAAGAAAGAACAGATCCACATCTGAGAAGACTTCATATTTGGAATTATCACATGGAGACTCTAAAACGACCATGCTATTACAAATAAAAGATAAGCTTGAAGGTATTTTGAGGAACAGAAACTATAAAAAATGACCTAGCATATTTGAGAGGGGGAAAAAAACTACTAGATAGGGAAACACACACACACACACACACACACACACACACTCACTCACTCACTCACTCACTCACTCACTCATATATACACACACAACGAAAAACAATCCCAAATTTAAAAAGCAGTGGATGGATGGACTAGCAGATTAGATTCAGTTGAAGAGATGTTTAGTGAGCTGGAAATTAGGTCAGAAGAAGTTTTTCAGAACGTTGCACAGAGAGACAGAGAGATGGAAAATACGAAAGAGAAGCTAAGAGACTTGGAGGGTACACTAAGACATTCTAACTTGTCTAATCAGGTTTCCAGAAGGAGAGGAGCAAGAGAGTGGGGCAAAAGTATATATATGTCATATCTAGTAGTTTTTCCCCCTCTCAAATATGTTAGGTAATTTTTTATAGTTTCTCAAAATACCTTCAAGCTTATCATTTATTTCTAAAAATAGCATGGTCATAGATTTATGTATATATGATATATATATATATATAT